ATGCCTAGACCCTCTCCCAACACAGAACTGGAGTAAATATCAGGTAAGAGTCCATCGCCAGTGTCAAATATCACAAGGCAATAAATAATGAATGGAACAGGCATTAAAGAGGATAATTCAGATAAAGCTTAACCCACATCCCACATACAAGTACTGTTGGATATTGTCTCTTCACTGTTTTATGCTAGAGGCCGCTTATTGTTTTGCCTTCCATTATAATACCGTGACTGATAATCACCTCCTTCTTTGTTCAAAGAAAAAAAAATGTAGAAAAAAAAAACCACTAGTGAATGAACTTTTAGAAAAAAATGTTAGAGTCTGTCCTCTGTACCCCAGTATTTTCAACAAGAAAAGGAATCTAAGTCTTGAATTCTTCATGTTTCCTAGTGTATAGGCATCTGTAAGTTCTCATGACTGTCACCTTTCTCTGTTAATTGTGTTATTAATATCCACAATTTACTTGAACTGGAGAGGATTTTAAAGGAATTCATCATTTGTAGGTTTGCATAAGTATCTAAAACTTTTTTTCTTCATTTTTGTTCAATTTGTGATTTGTTCTATCATGGTTTCCATAACTTTTATCAGTTTGAAGCTAATAACTTCAAAAATAAGTATGCATGATACTCAGCAGCAAATTCAATATTAGCAGTGATTTACTTTGTTTTCAGACACTTGACACTTTGAATGACACTGTAAAGGGAATTTTAGAGAACATAGATTCAGTGCTTGCAGAGGGCTTTCTAGTAAAGCTGTCAAGAAGGCAAAGGCATTATTTAAGCCAGAAAAGAATTTAAAAGAAACATGAAAGCACAATTCTGCATGTGTGATGCTTAGGAAAAAAATGTATTTGAGTATTTAAATGCAGCTAGAGAAGGGGAGCAAAGAGAAGTTTTCTTGGCCTGTGTTTCAAACAAATATACTTCATAAAACATAAAACAGTATTTGCCTCAGGATGCATAGTCACACAAAAGGTTATGATTTGAGTTTCTTTTTTAAGTGGTTTTATTTTGTTGTAAATGGGAATATGCACAAAATTAATGCATTTTTAGAAGGACATTCATTTCAGTGACAATGGAATGTCAATAAAATTGAAATTTTCAGATTGACTATAAAGTATAGATATTCATCACATTGACAGGTGCCATTGTTTTAGTTATAGTTTTGAATTATCTCTGAGAGATGTAATAAATGATATATGTACATATATATTTAAGAGTTCTATATAACTTTTCAGTGTATCTCTCTGGTGTAAGACTAAGGTAAGAATGCTAATTTCATTGAAGAAATGCCTTCTTCTGCAGGGAGTTGGTGGGAGACAGTAACCCCTGGAGTCTGGTGGATCTAGAGATGGGAATGAGTAAAGAGAGGGGCTATCAGACACATAGGCACATCAACAAAGTCAGGGTCATAGGACAACTCCTAATCCACACCTGCATCTCCGACCACTGTTCCAAGCTCCTGACCCAAATTTCCAACTGTTCACTAACATACCTTTGGGCCGGGCTCCCTGACAAGCAGCACTGGTGAGGAATATTCATCTCTCATGACCCCCTGGTCCAAGTGCTGGCTTCACGTTCACACTTAGCCGAATCATCTCCTGCTATCTCTTCTTCCTCATCCCAGTCACCCCCTACTCTTGGCTAAGCCCTGTTGTTTTGGGCATTGAAGTCTCTCTTATACTTTTTGTCTCCATGCTTCTTCCTCCATGTACTCCAGTAGTGACTCATGGGTCACCTCCATGTTTTCTGTTTCTCATTCAACAGATGTTTGCTGAACACTGACTACAGCTAAGCCCTGCAAAGCTATAATTATCCATCATTTGTAAAAACAGGTTGTATCATCACAACATCACACATCTTCATGGTATCCATTATGCACAAAATATAAATTCCTTAGTCTCTCTCCAGCCCCATATAAGCCTCCTGTTTGCCATGACTGAATGCCTGTCCTGCTCCATATTTAGTGGCTGCAGGAGCAGTGAGGACACATGAGAGCACCAAACATAGCATGCCCAGGGCGATTTGCTAAATCCTGTGACAACCACTTAGGAAACAAAAACAAAAAGCCACCCAGAGCAGCTGGTCAAAATGGAGTGACAAGTGACTGGATTTAACCTCTTGATTGAAGGAACCCCAAAATGGACAAAATATGTGACAATACTGAATATTGGGCAATAAAAGATGGTCATCCTGAGGAGCCCTCCAGTTGTCCCAGCTGGCTGCCTTAAGAGAGTTTCTAGGTAAAATGGGAACTCCGAAGTCTTCCTGAGACTCCCTGGGTTGAGGAGACAGAGCTGAGAGTATAAGGTAGGAGCAGGACATGAAAACTAGAGTTCTCAGGATGGAGTGCTGCAGAAATGCGCTGAGAGAGCTATGGGGTCCTTCCAGAAGTCTCGTCTGGTATTCTGCTAAATACTGGTTGGCACATGCTTGGGAAGAAACTATTTGAGTCTGGGAAAAGAACCACCCAACAAGATTAGAGATTCACAGCCTGGTACTTCATATACCTTATTCAAAAATTAGCTCAAAATGAGCTATAGGCATAAATGTAAAACAATATTATAAAATTTTAGAAAAAAATCGTGGGAGAAATACTTTGAATCTAGAGCTAGACAAAGAGGTCTTAGACCTGACACCAAAGGCATGACCCACAGGAGCCAAAGGTGATATGATGGACATTAGAACATTAAAATCTTATTCTGTGAATACACGTGCAACTGACTGAATGGTTGCATCCCTCCAAAATCCATGTGTTAAAATCCTGACCCTCAATATGGTGTTATAAGGAAGCAGGGCCTGTGGGAGGTGATTTGGTAATGTGAACAGATCTCTCATGAATGGAATTAATGATCTTATTAGAAAGCTTTCACTTGCCCTGTTTCCACCAAGTGAGGACACAGGGCGAGGTTGGTAGTCTGCAACCAGGAGGCAGACCCTCACCAGATGCCTTAATATTACATCCCTAGCCTCCAGAACTGTGAGGAAAAAAACAAACCACCAACCAGCTGATGGCATTTTTGTTATTGCAGTTCAAACTTCTTGAAAACACAAGCTACAGTCTGGGAAAAAAAAACTTACAAACAGCATATCCGAATAAAGAACTTTTAAAAATTCAACAGTAAAAATCCAATGGGAAATGAGCAAAAGACATGGATGTTTTACTAAAGAGGATATGCAGATTGCAAATAAGCATGTGAAAGACTGTTCATCATCACTACTCATCAGGGAGATGCAAATTAAAGGCACAATGGTGTCTCAGTACACACCTCTCAGAATGGCTAAAATAAAAGTGACACCAGCTGGATGCAGTGACTCACGCCTGTAAACCTATCTACTCAAGGGGTCGATATCAGGAGGATCACACTGTAAAGGCCAGCCCAGGCAAAAAGTCCCAGAGACCCCATCTCGACCAATAAAAAAACCAAGTGCCATGAGAAGCACCTGAAATCCCATCTTCAGGGAAGCGTAAATAGGAGGATCACAGTCCAAACCAACCAGAGCATAAAAGCAAGGCACTATTCAAAAAATAACAAAAGCAAAACAGGATGGTGGGCATGGCTTAAGAGGTAGAGCACAAAGCCCTGAGTTCACACGCAGTACCACCAAAAAAAACAAAAGTTGTGTCACCAAATGTTGGCCATGATGCAGAGAAAATAGACCACTCCTACGTCCCTGGTAGAGATGAAAAATGGTCCAGCACTTGAAGGCAGTTTGACAGTTTCTTGCAAAATTAAATATCCAATTACTATACTTACAATTGTATTCTTGGACTTTTACCCCAGAGAACTAAAAACTTAGCTTTGATGTAAAAAACTTGCACACCAATGTTCACAGCAGTTTCATTTGTAACAGCCCCAAACCGAAAACATCCCAGATGCTCCTAGCTGGTGATGCTGACACCAACTGTAGCATGTCCCTGGAATATTACTCAGCAATACAAAAAAAATGGGCTGTGGTACACCTGACAACCTGCAGGAATATGCCACAAATTATATTGAATAATAAAAGCCAAGTACAAAAGGCTGCAGACTCTGTGTTTGTATTTATGTAACATCATAAAAATAGATGACAAACCAGGGTTAACAGAACTTAGGAAGGTTGGAGCAGGGGGACCATTGGGTGTGTCTATAAAAGGCAGAATGGGGACCCTTCTGATGACAGAATTGTTCTGTGTCCTGACTGGATCATTTTCACATCTGGATGTGACATTGTACTATAGCTTTACAAGGTGCCACCATTCAAGTACAGAGGATCTCTGTTGTTTTTTGTTTTGTGGTACTGGGGTTTGAACTCAGGGCTTTGTGCTTGCGAGGCAGGCATTCTACTGCTTGAGCCAACCTCCAGCTCTTTTTGCTCTGCTTATTTTGGAGAGAGGGTCTTGTTTTTTGCCCAGGCCAGCCTGGACCACGATCCTCCTAGTTTATGCTTCCTATAGTCACTGGGATGACAGGTGTGCCACCGTGCCCAGCTTTTTTTCTCTTGAGATGGAATCTTGCAAGCTTTTTTTTTTTTTTTTTTGCTTGAGACTGGGCAAAATATGATCCTCCCAATCTCAGCCTCCCAAGTAACTAGGATTAAAGGTGTGAGCTGTCTTTCTTTAACTGCATATGAACCTACAATTATCTCAAGATAGAAGGTTTCCTTTAAAAACTGGGCATTTATCAAACACTCCTCAGAACTTTGAGTGGCATGTGTGATTGATAAAAATTACAAACTCCTCATCTGTTCACCATTCCAAGATTTCCTTAGACATTTTATCAACTACCTAATAATTATCAAAATTATAAAAGATATCATTTAGTATTAAGAATAATTTGATCAGTGTTGCAACAGAATAAATAAATGTGGGTATTTCGGAGGCAAATTTTGGTTATTTTTGAAACACCCACACAAAACAAACCCCCACGATGCAGATGGCAGTCGCCTTCTCTCATGCCAGGACTCTGCCATCTGGGTCACCAGAATGAGCCGACTGACCTTCTCTGGCATCTTTTCTCACAGGATCTCCTCTTCAGCGTGTGTGCCCTCAATGTCCTCTCCACCATCGTGTGTGCCTTGGCCACCGCCATGTGCTGTATGCAGATGGTGTCCTCCGACGTCCTGCAGATGGTGAGTGACCCCCCACACCTTGCACAAGCCCACTCAAAGTGATGGGACTGATCCTCCCTCCTCTGGACAGCTTGAGACCACCGCAGCAATGGATGCTTTTGATTAGAAGCTAGAAGTAGGGTGGAGATGATGGGCCCTATCAGTGAATGGCACCTGGACTTCCTTGGAGATCACCTCGTGCCTGGTTTGGTGCTGTTGATTACAGATGCCATTGGAGCTCTGTGTTGATACAGAGTCCTGTGACTTTCTCATTCTCCTAGATAGCCACTGGTATGTGCCCCTGGCATCCCCTGGGCCATCCTCACGCTCAGAACTCTCTCTTAATAAAGGAAGTTTATTAAGATGGATTCTTCTCAAATTGAAAAAATTTGTTGGTACTGGATTGTTAATCCCAAATTCATGTCCTGACTGAAGACCCCAGACCAGGAGTTAAGAGTTCAAACTAGCACAACATTTATTGAAAGGATAGCAAAGCCCCCTGACTGGTGGGACTTAGTGAAAGAATTAAGCCAAAGAAAGGCTGCAGTCTAGGAGAGGATATAGGGCAATAGCTGGCTTAGGTCCAACTATTCTACCTTGAAACTATATTTGTGATTGGTTGGTGCCTAGACAACTTCTCATTAAATCCAACCACTAGTCTGTCCCTCTTCTTCTCAAACTGGACATTTTAGGAGGGTCTGGTCAGCTTGCCCTGGTCTTAGAAGTTTGCCTGGCTCATTCTAACCTCGAGGCCCATGACCCACACTTTGCAGCTGCATTTTGTTATTTTTCTCTGAAAAGCCTGTTTCCTATGCCTCTTTAGATAGCTGCTTTTAAAGTGCCTCTCTCATCCAAAATGGAGTCACCTCTGTCATTGCCCCCCTTCCACTGTTATTCTTTGCTCTTTAAATTTTCTAATTAACCCTAAGCGCATAATCCAGTGGCAGGTCACTGGCCATCATTTGGTACCCTGGAGCTGCTGCTCCCGGGTGGTAAGGGAAGGCCGGCAGCAGGGATCACACCCTTGCTAGTGCACATTTATAAACTTACACTTTGTAAATCATGAAGACTCTTCACTGTTTCAGTGTGAATGGAGCACAGCCCACTGCTCAATATGTTACCACTAAACTCGGCACAGTAAAGATGCCGACAGGAAGATGTTCTCTGACACTAAGGGTAGGAATCTCTCTTATGCCCATTCACTCTTGTTCTTTCTTTGCCTGTCTACCTCCTTCACTTTCTCTCTGCCTCTCTTAGTTGTTTTCTGATACTTTAATAGAATGCCCAAGACTTGTTAACTTATAAAGAAAAGAGGTTTATTTAGTTCACATTCTGGAGGCTGGAAGTCCAAGATTAAGAACTGCATCTTGTTGGCTTCTGGTGAGGGTCTCATGGCAAAAGGAGGAAGGGAAGTGTAGCAGGGAGGATGATCAGAAGAAAACAGACTAGGCCTGAGTTCTGATAAAGTAGCAGGAAGGTAGGGATGGCATAGCAGAGAGATAAAACCTGAGAAATCTGAACGTGGAGAGGGTCACATAGCACTGGGGAGGGGGAAAGTTACGTAGCACTAGGGTAAAGTAACCTACAGAATTGAATATAACCATATATGGATTAGACCTTGCTTTCTGCTTCTGTAACCTGCTTGCAAGGATACATAAGGCGAGACCCCTTTGTTCTCGGGGCTCAGCCTTTGGACACGAGTCTGCTGGGTCTGTGCTGGCACAATAAAAGTTGCTAATCTGCTAATCTGCCTCAGTGTCCCTTATCTCAGATTGTAATTCCCACAACAGAAGTGGGTGTGTGTAGAAAAGACAAAACATGAGTGACTTGCTTTATCATACCCACTTCAGAGGTAACTTACACCATCTCATGAAAGCTGATGGCATTGATCTGGTGAGGGCCCCCCTCAATGGCCCAAACACCTCCCACTAGGCCCTGCCTCCCCACACCACTGTACTAGACAATTCAGCCTCTGTATGAGTTTTGGTGGGGCCAAGTCACATTCAAACCACAGCACTGTCTCTGTCTCCATCTCTCGTGAGCTGCCCCCTAGGACCTCTCCTGTCTTCCACCCAATGTTGTGTGCATCTCATGGAAAAGTCAAGTTGTTTCTGCAGTAGGCTTTAAAACAAAATCTTTCTCATCCACCTGGTGGCAATCCATCAGTTAATCTAGATATAGGGCCAGAGAACATCATTGGCAAAACATTAAAAATCTGTTGGTTCTAATCGTATGCCATGTACAGCCCCCCTCCCTTCCTGGCATATATCTGCACAGCTGTCACAGCCAGCTGACCTTTCTGAGGGGTTGCAGTGCTCTGAAAGGTGTCTAATTAAGTAGTTATTCAGCAGGATGAACTTTTGGCCTTGTTCGTCGAGGCTTAGTGTTGGCAATTTTCTCTAGCCTGTTGTGTAAAGGAAAGGTTAAGTACCAGGGGCTTCTACTCACCTCAGCCGATTTTATTATCGATCTGTAAATATCACACCAATTTAAACAAAGTAACAGAACCGAAGGGCTGCAAATGCTAAACGTATGCATTTCTCTAGGTGTACACATCGAAGAGAAAAATCACCAACTAAATAAGAATGAAGTGGGTTCTAGCTGTGAAAGCATATGCAATTATAATAGCAATGTGCAAGGTCATTGTAAGGTCACAGTGTGTGGAACTGGAGTTGGCCTGCAGTCATGGGTCTACAGTCAGGTGTGTCTGCACCTGACCTCCACTTCCTCCATGTAAGAAGGTAACTCTGGCCACATCACTGCACCTACCTGTGCCTTAGTTTCCTCACCTATGAAATGGAACTAATGAGATGACCTGGTGATCACTTAGAAACTATGATCTATGTTGATCTTTAGTTTATATTTTATTTTATTTTATTGCAGTGCTGGGGGTCATAGCCAGGGTCTTACCCATGCTAGGCAGGTACTCTACCATTGAACTTCACTCCCAGCTCTATATTGGTTTTTTAATGTGGAGGGAATATTAGTTTGTTAAGGGACATCACAGCAATGACTAAACTGCAATGCTGTCTTGATGTACTTTACCAACTGTGAATTACTATGCAAAAGTACTGTCGCAATTACAACATTGTGTCTTAGTCAGATGTCTGTTGCAATTAAAAAAATACCTGAGACTGGTACTCTATAAAGAAAGGCTGAGGGCTCAAGTGCTAGAGCACCTGCCTAGTGCAAGGCCCCGAGTTCAAATCTCAGTACTACCAAAAGAAAAGAAAAAGGAAAGTTTGGTAGACTGAAAGACCAAACAGTATGGTCCCTGCTTTTGTGGGGACCTTTGGCAATGTCACATCATGGCGGATGGCACTGTAATTGAAGTAACATATATGAAAGAGAGAGAAAGCGATCAGAGGGAATCAGGAGCCAGGCTTGCTCCTTATAACTAACTCTCTGAGAGGCCAGCTGTAATCCCTTCCAACAGCATTGCCCCCAGTGACCTGACCACCTCCCATTAGGTCCATCTCCTTGAAGGTTCCATACCACCTCCCAATACCACCATACTGAGGACCAAACTTCCACCACATGAATGAACGCCTAGGGACAAATCATATAGCAAGCTGACATCAGAAGCTCCCCCGCTTGGAAGTAGAAATAATTGAGTTTCCTGTTGGTGAGGCCTCCATCTTGTGTGGCCTTGTGCTGGGGGCACACAAGGACTCTGCTCTCATAATAAGATTCAGCCATGCTGCTAAGTTCCAGTGTCATGGAGGAGGCAGAAGGGAAGGGTGGTATGTGACCATGGTGCTTATGAGACCAGCACACGACTGTGGATACCTTACTGCCTATTGGTGTCCATTTCTTCTGCTCTAAATAAGATTGTTTGTGCCCTTCTGCCCTCATAAAGCCACTGAGGGAATGGGCTTTGATGAAGCATGGTGGCCATGTGCAGATTGGCTTTGGCATATGGGTGGGAGGCTGGGCCAGGTTGACTGCACAGGCTGTGACTTTGGAGAAGCAGGGAAGCCCAAGGGGTGGGACCCAGAGCTGGGATGTTTAGGAGGATGCTTTAGAGTCATTTCTTGATTTTCTTACTTTATTTCATTTGATTCTTTAATTTAAAAAGTAGTATATGATCACTAAAGCAAGTCAAATAATATAGCAGTATATAAAGAAAAAGTTAATCTCCCTTTCCAGCCCCGTGGAAGAAACCAATGCTAAAAGTTTGCAGAATCCTTCCATTTATCCCATCATTTCTTAAGTGCTTATATAAATAGGGTGGTAGTCTTAGCTTCCGTTTTTCCTCTCTCCTTTTCTCTGTCCCTCTGCTCAGTCCTTCCTCTTGTACCCATTCCACGTGTCAATACGTAACATTTAATTTATCCATTCATTAGTTGATGGTCATGTAGGTTATTTCCACTTATTGGCTATTATGAAAAATGCTATTATGAGCATCCTTGTACACGTTTTTGTGTGGACATGTGTGTTATTTTTCTCTTGGGCATATATATATATATATATATATATATATATATATATATATATGCGATTTGCAAAAAGCCTTTCTTATCCTGTTATCTTTTTGCTTGATGGTGTCCTTGGAAGCACAAAAGTTTCAATTTGGTTGCAATTCAATTTGTCTATTTTTTCTTTAGTTTCTTGTGCCTTTATTGTCCGATTTAAGAAGCCATTGCCTCATCCAAGTTGATGAAGATTTATTTCTGCTTTCTTCTAAGAATTTAATGGTTTTAGCTGTTACACTTAGGTCTTTGAACCATTTGAACTGATTGTTGCCTATAACCGTGAGGTTAAGGTTCAGGTTTATTCTGTTCTCAGTACCATTTGTTGAAATGAAAAATCTTTCCCCATTGAATTGTCTTGATAACATTGGTGAAATCAGTTGACTATAGATATATGGGTTTATTAGTGAACTCTCAATTCTGTTTCACTGATCTATATGTCTGTCCTTGTGGCAGTACCCCACAGCCTTGATTTTAAATTGAGATGTGTGAGTCCTCCAAGTTCACTCTTCTTTTTCAAGACTACTGTGGAGATTTGGTGCCCTTGCA